ATTGACTACAGTAACAATATTTTCATATGTAGACATATATGTTTTTCTTTTATAATTTGAAACTTAAAATTTAATTTCACATTTCAAAAATAGTTCATTTCATATAAAACTCATTTTATTAAAAATATATTACCTTAACATTCTAGAGTTATTCATATACAAGATAAATTTTACATAATACAGTCTTAATCTAAACACAGACTGTTTTCTTTTTCAAATTGAGGTTCACACTCTGTATACTTGTTTGAATTTGCTTTTTTTAAAAAGTTTTTGTTTAACCATGTATAAAAATTAAGGCATACTATATTAATGTACAGGTATTTGACAAACATATAGTAATGTAACTACCACCACAATCATGATATACATAATTATCTAAAATATGACTGTGGGCCAGGTGCGGTGGCTCACGCCTGTAATCCTAGCACTTTAGGAGGCTGAGGTGGGTGGATCACCTGAGGTCAGGAGTTTGAAACCAGCCTGTCCAACGTGGTGAAACCCTGTCTGTACTAAAAATACAAAAATTAGCCAGGTGTGCCTGTAATCCCAGCTACTCGGGAGGCTGAGGCAGGAGAATCGCTGGAACCCTATGAGACGGAGACTGCAGTGAGCCGAGATCACGCCACTGCACTCCAGCCTAGGCGACAGGGCAAGATTCAGTCTCAAAAAAAAAAAAAAATGGCTGTGAATGTCATCAACTTTTCTGTCATTTGGAAGTGCAATAATTTAACCAATTTTGTTTTCTTGGCCATTTAGGTTGTTTACGATTTCTCCCTTACCGATTTCCAATCTGGGGGAATGAAATCAATGAATTAAAATGCATGAGGGCCATGAGTAATTCCAGCACTTTGGGAGGGCGAGGTGGGTAGATTGCTTGAGCTCCGGAGTTTGAGACCATCCTGGGCAACATGGTGAAACCTCTTTTCTACTAAAAATACAAAAAAGTTAGCCAGGCATGGTGGTCTGTGCAGGTAGTCCCAGCTACTTGTCAGGTAGCTGAGGTGAGAGGATTGATTGGGCCTGGGAAGTAGAGGCTGCAGTAAACTGTGTTCGAACCACTATACCCCAGCCTAGGTAACTAAATGAGACCCTGTCTCAAAAAAAAAAAAAAAGAGAAAAAGAAGGAAGGAAGGGCAAGGGGAAGGGAGGGGAGGGGAAGGAGAGAGAGGAAGAGAGGAAGGAAGGAAGGAAGGAAGGAAGGAAGGAAGGAAGG